ATAAGCTAACTTCACGAAGGGACCAGATGGCAAACTTTGACAGTGATTGATGGAATTGGTAAAGATTGCTGAGTGACCAAAAGATATGATGGATTTTAAGTGGCAATATGGGATTCGTAAAAATCTTGGCCGATGGGAAGCAGGAGAATTTTGTAAACAAAAATTCTGGATTATAATTTTAAAGAGGCCAGCTTAGCCACACCCGCACAGCCGGGATGCCATTGGTCGAGTGTTAGCAATGGTGATAGGCGGAGGTGAATGGATGAGAACGACGGAGAAGTTATTAACGCCCACGACGGGATTGGTATGAGATATCAATGTGAGAGAGGAAGAGTTTAGGAGGATAGCTCTCCTCCGACCTCCTCTCATGGACGAGGGAGACCCCTAAAAAAATGGAAAGTGATTAATTTTCCAAAAATGGGAAGTAATCAATTTTCCTGGCCTGACAACAAAGAGATTTCTTGTTGGGAATCGAGATTTACCGAGAACCCCAGGCCGCGTCTGGCCCCGAAATGGATTTTGGTCTGTACCCATATAAACGAACGTCCTCGGCCCGTTCGACAGACAGTCGAGCATTTCAGTTCGAGTATTGGGCACCAGAGTGTTGCCTCGCAGAAGTTGACCGAGAGATCCCACGTCCTCCGACTTCGCCTATCCTATCAATAGCAAGTTATACTGACGAACGAAGCCAATCCAGCATCTAAGAACTAAATCAGTTCACTTAAGATACCACAACTTGCTTGAAACGTAAAAGTGTCACATTCCGTAGGCAACGGGCTGGGAGAGAAACACACTCCTGTATATAACAGACCGATAAAGTTAATTTGCTATTTCTGAACATAATTGAACCTCTTGGGTTTTTTTTAATTGCTTCTTTTTCTTTACGCTTGTCGATATCACCTTCAGTCTGGAATCAGCTTATACTACGGCCCAACGTCTGATTGATCTCGTCTATCTAAGATCAAAATCACAACGTGGGTAGGTTAGACTTGAGATTGAAGCAGTTACTCCGGTAACTAGATTTTAGAAGTGAGCTGGGAACGACAGAGCTGGTATGGAACCGCTACAGCTGGCGTGAAGCCGTTAACAACGACGACAAGAATTCGACCCTGGACGGGCCAGTGTCACATATTGGTATCCTGATAAAGGGATTCCGCCGAGTAGCGACGACTACCGATCGACCGGGACACAGGCTGTTAGCATTGACTAATAGTCAACCCCAAAACGCCGGTGGAAGAAACATTACAGCTTCGCGCCGCGACTGGGAGGTGACCACGGGCCAACAGCTCTGCTTAGAAGCCTACTGGTAGGAACAAGTGACAAGGAGGTAGTTTTTAGTGACCGATAATATTATCATTATTAATAAATTTGTTGGTGGACAAATACAATGTTCGACTTCAGCGGAGACTGACATGTGAGTCGTTGGTTGTCCCGTTCTTCCACTGAGTATGGGTGTCTGCAGTTATCACGTGTATGTCTGAAATTGCCGTATTCATGTCATAGCATCTTTCTATTTTTGCCCGAAAAAACTCTAGATCATTTGCCAATTAGAATATAGTATAATATCTTTTTGCTCTAAACAATAATTCAGCGGTTAAATCGTATTAAATCCTTACTACCTCATGCACACAGCTGCAATACATCTTTACCTATTACGTCACACATACGTAATCCAGTTGAGTATATTTTTACAAGTGAGCACTCTTTTAAGAATAGTGTTTTTGGTTATTGGAATTTTATTCCGTCTACACCAATCCTATACTAGGATGTATACACATACACACACACACACACACACATACACACACATATATATACATATATATATATATATATATATATATATATATATATATATATATATATATATATTGGTAATTTCTGGGAAGAGATTAAAATTATGCATATTTGCGGTGGCCGGTCGTATTATACACATGTCAGTTTTTTCTGGGTGAGTTAAAATTCATGCAAAAATCCAGGTGTCGCGTTATACATGAAGTCGACTTTATACAGGAGTATCTAGGGCATTACTAAGTCGGAATCAAAAATAAAATTGAACCGAGAAATCTTGTCGATATTGTTCATATTGTTCATCAAAATCTGCTTAAAGGAATTCTTGCTGCCCAATTCCAATTTATTATATATATATATATATATATATATATATATATATATATATAGAGAGAGAGAGAGAGAGAGATGAATTTGGCTAGATTGAAAAAAAAACTATTTGTAAAAATTAGTCTCTCATTCATTCACATGTTCAGTCATAACAACGCAAAGAACGGTTGATTCTTAATCTGTCTGTTCTTTCTTTTATATATATATATATATATATATATATATATATATATATATATATATATAAATATATATATGTGAAAAGTGTACATAAATATAAATAAATATATATATATAATTATTTATATATTATATGCGAGCTACTTATTAGAAAGCGCTCAATATCAGAGATAGAGCTAACATATTTGGTTGGATAGATGTGAGTTTGTGACCCTGGGTTTCACGCTTTTGCGATCGTCAACCAAATATATATATATATATATATATATATATATATATATATATATATATATACACACACACAGATACAGACATATATATATATATATATATATGTATATATATATATATAATAAAACACGTTGTCTGGATTTTTAATAGGTGAAGAGCTATTTATTACAGGAAATGGTATCAAAATTTGGCCCATGCCTTTTACCAGACTATGAAAGAACATTACCAATTCCATATGTGATAATTTTCACTGGCTTTATGCATTTTGGATAGGCCATAAGTCTAGGCGATTAATTTAGACTATTACTTTAATGAGAACAAGTTAACTAAAACAATTAAAAGAACACCAATTAGAACAATATCCCTTCACATATAAAGCATCCCGGTAACCTTGTCGAAATACTAAAGGGAATAATTAATACCCGATAAACTCATGGCTCGTTTATATGTCAACTCCTTGTACACAAACGTATCTGTCATCAGTTATAAAGAAAAAAAAAAAGAAATAAGAGAATGAACATTAAATAATGTAATTTACTAAGCTTAGTTCTGGCATAAGGTCACAAATATTGAGCTCGGAATGAGGATCGATGCTAGTTGGGCCGGAAGAAAAATAACATAACAATTTAACCTATCAAGACCTTTTGAAAAGAAAACAGCGCGATATCTTTAGTAAAGGTTAAATGTTAATAAACAAAGAAGCTGATGTTTTTATTCCGGACACTGGGCAAACTGATGTTTGCTTTTCTACTTACACAGAAATCCCATCATCTGCTAAGATTTTTACTTGTTGATTCAACCTCTATTTATTTTGCCACGCACCAAAAATAGTTTTAAAAGATTCTTCGATAATGTTATGTCAAGATGAACTTTATTATTATTGCTTGATATCGATATTGAATAAGAGTGAGCAGCACGCTAACAAAGTGACGATGGGATACATCTATACAAAACATAATATATTTATCATGAAACTTAATCTTATAAGAGTATACCAGACACATGCCCTACAGTCAAACAGGGCCGGTGCCTACTATCACCAAACGGGGGATGAACAGCCTGATTGAGGGCCCTATATGCTTTGTTACCCTTGCTATTTTATCAACATTGGCTTTTTCTATCTATATTTATATATGTGCCATCCACCTGTCTCGAGAGACCATGGATCTGCGCCCAAATAGCTATGCCTCAGCTAATGATGGTGGTGCAGAATCTGTCATGGCTGTACAGACCTACAAGCAACGTGTTGGCTCGGAAGGAAAACAACATAACAATTTAACCTATCAAGATCTTTTGAAAAGAAAACGGCGCGACTTCTTTAGCAAAAGTTAAATGTTAATAAACAATACGAAGACACTCTCCTTTGACGTGGCCTTGTTGTTTTCTTTCCTTCCGGCACGCGTCTCCCCGGCGGCAAACCTTCGTGACGTTTTCTCACCTCTCGATGTCCATGCCCATCAGTCTTATCTTACTTTTGCAGACGTCTTTGAAGGGAAGACGAGCTTCCTTTTCGGTGGACAGTTTCCCGTATAGATGGACCTTTGGAATCTTCCCATCAGTAGACTGTTGCTTCCCGTATTTTGACGTCGCTGGAGTGTCCTCTCCAGAGCGCAGGCCTGGGTAGGTTTTTATGAGGGATCGGCGGTTGCCCCTGCAGCACGTCTCCCCTCTCCTGGTTACTGATGTTGTCCAAGGGAAAGGTAGATTTCCATGCAACTTGGCACCGGCGTCGTCGCAGGAGTTGCCAGAACAAAGTTGAACATAGCATCAAACTGTCTTAAGAACTCCGGCTCCGGATTTGCCCTCAGGGTTTACTCCCGAAGCCTTTCCCATGATTCGCTATGGCCGCCAGGCAGCGAAGCTTTTAAATCAGAGTTTTGCTTCTCTTACATGGCCTACCCTTCCGGTGTGATGAGTTCCATCTACCCGAAGTATATTTATACATGCATAAGCACACACATATATATTTTACACTGGATGTCGGAGTAAACAGTTTTTTCGTCGAATGTAACGATTTAATAATAATAATTATTATTACTTTAAATGAGAAATCAATAAAGAAGTAAAAAAAATAATAATAGCGGTGTCAAAGGGAAAATTGTCACTTTGATATTTTTTTGGCGCGCACAAATGTCCAAGTTTGCCGAAATTTCCTTCTCCTAGACGGCTATAAATTTAAAAGTTCGCTTCTATCGGGGAAGTTGAAAAAAATATTATGCACCAGCCCCGAGAAGCGATCCCTCCAGGAAATTATCTCTCCTTCGTGAGGAGGCTATAGTCATTACTCGGCGCCTGAGACGTCTCCAAAAAAGGAGGCTTGGATATTTTTGGCACGCTAATGCCATTAAATCCACTTTAAACTGACCTTGTGTCACATTCGGTAGCAACGTGGGCGAATTGAAAAATCCATATAGAGTTGTTTTTTGTTTTTTTTTAACCGAATGTATTCGCAATTTATATATCCTATTATGGGCTGGTGGGCCAAATTTTGTAAATGGTTACTATTAATATCTATCTATTTCTCTTTCATATCAACCTCAGTTTTTGCCATCGTTCCATTTCCCCTCTTCACTTATTCTAGCGTCTGTTTTCGGCCATCCTCGGAAGCAAAAAGATGGTATCTTTCATTGATAATCCATTAAACATCCTTATCAAGGCGACATAATCTAATGGCTTAAGAGTTTGTATAATTGAGATGCTTGATAAGAATTATCTAATTATAATCAATAGATTCTTACATTTAAATTTGTGTGCACGCGCATATAACACATACACACAAACATACACACAAACACACACACACGTGTGTGTGTGTGTGTGTGTAACAGCGAAATTGTCCAAATCATGTAACAGCAAAATTGTCCATTTGTCAGAGTAAGTTTTCAACCGTCGTATCTTAGAAATGATTAAAGATATCTTACTGGAATTCTCCGATGTTTTTATAATTCTGTTGGACTCTACTTTGAACAGTAAGAATGTATCTAGCTCTAAGTTGAAATGATGATCCTTCTTGCTGTTGTGACCTCCTGATGCAGTTTTCCTCTCTACTGCTCAACTCCTTTTTAAACTTATTCACCATTCTCTTGATGGTTCTTGAATGGACTTTGAAGATGGAAGCCAGAGTACGAATGTTGGTAGCATTACTGAAGGCCTGAATGATCTTTTTCCTCTGACTATTGCCCATTTTAACCTCTCCGCTTTCTAGCTGAATTAATCAAAGGGTTTTTCAGAGATTCTTACGACAAATAGTGTTAAGATGGCTACATATGTAGCTCAGTTAGTTTTAGTGTTTTTTTTTAGATACTAAACATTTTGTTGGATGTGCAATTACCGCATGCTGCTACACCGGTACATATATATATATATATATATATATATATATATATATATATATATATATATATATATATATAGTGAGGAGTAGTGATAGCAAGAGAGAAACAAATTAATAATTTCGCATCCTTTGCATGTATTTAGAAGGATTTTTATCTGAAACATTAACTGTATAATGTCTGATTTTGTTTAATATTCACCAGTGGAGTAAGCGCATTGACAAAGATTAAATGTATTTAAGTAAATACATATTATCAAGGATGATTTTCTATTTATTTTTAACTGTCTGTGAGGATTGTTTTATGTATGCATCTAGAGTGATGATAATGGCTAAAAGTATAGCCGAAAGAGACATACAAAACATTTGGACAAATTCTACATAGTTTATGTGCAGAAAAGAAGAAAATTATAAGAACACAAGAAGAATTAAATAACTTAACTGCAGTACCTTGTCAACCATTTTTAATGAAACTTGTATAAATGAAGAATTGCTGCCCAATACACATTTAGAAGTACACCCACTTGTTTCGAATGCGGCACACGGTCTTTTAATCGCATGGGCCCCACTTCTAAGAGGTTCAGATAGTCCCTTTTTATTTCTGAATCAGTCTCTCATATATATATAGATAATTTTTTTTTCATCGATGATATCATTTGTAGGCCGTAAAGCCGCTTGCTGCTCTATATTGATTGAACCAGGGATTATCTACTAAACATAATTTAAATCTGACGCTTCTTCTTCGCATTCTTCGTATTCATTGCATTTTCTTCTTCACATTCTTCCCATTCTTAGCATTTTCCTTCGCATTCTTCTTCTTCGCATTTTTCACATTCTTTGTGTTCTCTGCATTGTTCTTCTTCACATTCTGCTTAGCATTCTTCTTCGCATTCTTCTTCGCATTCTTCTTCTTCGCATTCTTCTTAGCATTCTTCTTCGCATGCTTCTTCGCTTTCTTCTTCTTCGAATTTTCACATTCTTTTTGTCCTTCACATTCTTCTTCTTCGCATTCTATTCATTTTGCTACTTTTACTGGTGTTGGTGAGTCATGCTTAGAACCTTGTGTTATACTAATATAATTTTTGCTTGTCACAGATATCTTAGGTTTTTGAATTTCTTCTATGTGGATTTGCCATTATTTATACTATTTATATTCTCACTGTTGTCCTCATCTTTGTTGTTGTTATCATAACGTTTCGACCGTTGTGCCCGTCGTCCTTCTTGAGGTGTATATCTCTCTACAGGGAATTCTCAACTGGACTCTTTATATAATCTACAATCTACGCTGATAGACTATTCTCCTTCCACTGCCCATGTCTGATATGAGAATTTATCATTATTTATACTATTTATATTCGGACTATTTTCCTCATCTTTGTTGTTGTTATCACAACGTTTCGGTCTTTGTGTCATCCGGTCTTCCTCAGGTGTATATCGATCTGGGTAACCTACAGGGAATTCTGCACAGAATCCTTTATTTAATCTGCGAGAGTAGACTGTTCTCGTTCCACTGCGCATGTCTATGGACATCGTCTAGTTCTTGTTTTTATTTACTTTTGTTCAGTTATTGCTCGCACGTTTCCACTGAGTATAAGTACACACTGCCCGAGCCAGGGATTGAACTTACAGGCTATTATGTACGGGACAATGACCTAGTGGATAAAAGCGTTGGTCTGTCAAATTAAACAACAAAGATCAGGGCAATAGTCCGAATATAAATAGTGTAAATAAATATCTTTGGGTACAAAAAAACAATTCTTAAATTTTTAATCTTTGGAAATAAAAAATAACAACGCAGAACAATAAATCCAAAGATCATACGCACGGAATTTTAATAAATTTTCCCAAATTGTTTTCATTTAATTAAAAGCTTTTTTGTTTGTTTTACGCCATAAGAACCCACTGAGTCATTTAATGCCAAAAATTAATGTCATTTTCCTAAATAAAGCCTTTCTACTTCAAATAGGTATTTTTGGTAATTTTACTATAAATAGGTATTTTATATTTTCCTAGTATTATTATTTCTGTTTTGGGGTTCACTATTTGCCCTAACAGGAGTTACCACTCGGGGTCAGGGCGGATCAGGGAACAAAAGCAATTAAGAGATGGTTCCATGCTCCTTAAACAATCCAATCTCCCGATCAGATGTCTTGCCGCCGGATGTAGAATTAAAAGTTAAAGATGACAACTATATATTGTGATATAAACAGGAACAGTGTACTCTATTCTTGTATACAACAAACATCAGAGGAAAACCGCAAATTAGGGCAGCTGAAACGTTGTCCAAAAGACAACAAAAGTGAGAAAACTTGTCTAAAACATATTCAATGTATAATCAAAACAATAGTTCTTCTGTCTTGATGAACAACTGAGTATTTCTTTTAGTTTTATAGACTGGAATGTTTCTGCCAAATAGGATATATTATTTAGAATCTTATTAATTAAATATAGAAAACGTTTTTAACATGAACGAATTACGTTTCTAATATCCAAGGCTTTTAAACTGTCGAGAGCTGATGTTTCAATTTAATCGATTATATATGAACGAATCAACCCAACGATCGTATATTAAACACCAAACACAGCGGATGCAATTTCCATTAAACATGATCAGATAAAAAGAAGACCACTTTCTCAATCCTGATCCATTGAACTTTAACAAATGCCTAAAAGGACCGATCATCTTAATCCATTAAAAAGGAACATGAAAGGAGTGCGTTCTTGAGCTATTTAACAATGGCTCAAATTGAATCATCTCTCAATTTGATTTAAATGTTCAACACACGAATCCATTTGATTGCAGTATGATTTGGGAATAACAAAACATTTCTTTTAAGCAAGCTCCTAAATAGAATTTTGGAGAATTTTCTTAAGAAGTACTACGTCAGGTTCTTCCTTTCTACGTTTCCTTCCAACTAGCCTCAATGACATTCTTTTTTTTAAATTTACGGCTTACAAACCATTTTCAGGTCATTTAAAGCCAGAAAATAATTTTAAATTTTAAGAATCATTAGAAAATAATAAGGATTTCCTGATATAAGTCCTATAAATTAACCCATAGCTGGGGGGGGGAAGAGGCGGATTAAGTCTTTCCTGAGGGTATTTGAGCGTACGTGAATATAACAAACCAGACTGGAATTGGAACTCGGCTAGCCGATTTCCAATTCCGAGCCTTTATTTATTGCACCATCCGCACATCCAAGCTTACCGCATCTGGTATTCCTAAATAGTCACGCATGTAGGTACTGACCCGTCTCGATGTAACTTAATTTCGATGATCGTACGAATACCTATATTTCAACGTGATGCTGTCGTCTTTACGGGATCGGAAGTGTAGAATCTCACTGCCCAAGGGCACAGCTCTGATTGTTCTTTCGTAATCCTGAATTCAATCCCTAGATGAGGCAGTGCATAAATATGTGAAGGAGATGAAAGGCATCACAAGAGAGAACATCTAACTGCTCACTGTTTAAATTCTTCAGGTGAATGTGTTGCGTCGCGTATATCATAAATAGTTAATTTCATATTAATACATTCGATTTGTAAATACGTTAGTGTCCATAATTACTCTATTGTCCGGTGCTAAATCGACCTATTATTTCTGTATGTGAGTAATGACCTCACGGAATCAGAATCAACGTTGAGTTTAAGCAAGCGAATGAGCCAATTGGAGTAAAGTGTCATGCTGATTTAAATTTTTCCCACTTGTGACGAATGCAGCTATCGATTTATTTTTGCATGCTAGCATGCTAGTTAACATCCGTGTCAGTCAGCTGTTGGCTCTCACTCTGGCCAATAGAATTTTCCTGCCTATTCGTGGCAGCCAGCTATAGGCTCTCACTCTGGCCAGTAGAAAATGGCTGCAAACCACATGAAAACTGCCGTAGAAGCATAAAAAATCGATTATTTCCACTATCGATGGGAATTGGGAAATGCAAAGTCGGTCTTGGCCTTTCCACTAACTTGGAGCATGTGCATATAAATTTGGGTGCAAATCCGTCGAAAGTTGCGGCCGTGCATTCATTACACACACACACACACACACACACACACACACACACACACACACACACACACCTTTTTATAGATAGATAGAGATATAATCAAAGCAATAGTTCTGACGATTATTTTTGTCTTCATGAACAACTGAGTAGTTCTTTTAGCTTTATAGAATGATAAGTTTCTGCCAAATGAAAGGTTCTGTTTACTCCGTACTACACCTGTGGAAGACCGGAAAGTAGGGTGCTTGAAATGTTGTCAAAAAGACAATAAAAATGAGAAAACTTGTCTAAAATGGTCAACGTAAAATCGGAACAATAAATCATTATTTTTAAATTCTTTCTGTTCAAATAAATTAATTAGTATTTACACTATTTACATTCGGACTATTATCCTCATCGTTTTTGTTATCGGAATGGTTCGGTCGTTGTGTTTCTGACCTTCCTCAGGTGTATATCGATCTTAGTAACCTACAGGGAATTCCAAACTGAACCCTTTATTTGCGTTACGAGAGCAGACTGTTCCCATCTCGCTGCTTATGATCTAGGGGTATCGTCGAGTTCTTATTTTTATTTAGTACTGCTCAGTTATCGCACGCCTTGTCCCCCTATATTTTCACTTCATTCCACAGGGGCTGATTACACGTTTCCCTCCATAGTAATTCTAGGTAAATAATGGTCAAGGCAGAACATTGGACGTTAGACCTCTAAAAGAATCAGCGAATATGCTAGGTCATAAGAGACTGGAGACGACAGAGATGTAGTTCTACAGAAGGATGCTGAGGATATCATGGACCGACCGTGTGAGCAACGATGATGCAAACAAGGAGGAGGCTTATACTTAACATCAGGAAGAGGCAGCTAATGTTCCTGAGACACATAATGATGAAGGAGGGTCTGGAGAATCTGATACTCACGGGTCGAAAGAGAGACAAGGAAAAAAAACACATGACATATCTAGCGGCCTTAAGCAAGTGAATGACAGAATGAGGTCTGGGGGAGGTGGCAGAGGGATGGAAGTTGCAAGGAATAGAGGGAGGTGGAGAGTCATGATCGCCTACATCCTGAAAGGACACGGCATATAGAAAGAAAAAGATGATTATCTCCTTAGTAGGAGAAAGCCAAATACCAGCGGCAACAGCAGCAATCAAAGTCTAAATGGCAGCAGTAGTGATATTTAGCTACCCCCCCCAACCACGATGGTTACATGTGGCACAAGGCCGGGTTTAACATGGGATCTCCGAGCCCTTAGGCTCGGCCAAAAATATTCCCTCTTTGAACCCGCATAAACGGGTTCAGGGGCAGTCAACCACCCCGAACGAGACTCTGCCCTTCGGCGGAGCCTCGTCCGGGTTCCTCTCCGCCCGAAGGCAGAGAGTTAGACTGTTAGCAAAGTTAGCCAAGTTGCAGCAGTAGCTGAAACGCTGATCAACAGCCAGCTTAGGTTTAAGGATCCAAGTTCACTACATCAAATTGTCCTACAGGACAATGGCATTCGTTTGTGAATCTGGTGCGATAATGATTGTTAGTTCACTGGGCTGGGTAGTGAGTACTTGCACTCAGTGGGATGTTGTGATGACAACTCCAAAGATGAGAACAGTAGTCCTAAAGTAAATAATGATAACACTTCGGCCTAGAAATTCGGACAGAAAAATTCATTAATGTCCATAATTACTTTAATAGATTTCTGGCTGAATTTCTGGGACAAAAAATTATCATTATTTATATTCGGACTATTGTCATCTTTGTTGTTATCAGCACTCCATTGTAGCGTCCATAATCAAACCACAAGGGGGCGTTGAAAATTTTCAGCTATACCCATAAGAATGACCTTGGACCATGAAGTATACACTCGTCCGCATATTCGTCTAACAGTTCAAACATTTCCCACATCATTTAACATTTTTCTTTGAGCCTTTCAGAAATAAAGCAGTTCTGATGTTTATTGAAATTACTGATTATTGGAAATGGGTTAAGCTGAGAACATTTCAGCACCGAATGTATGTCTGTTAGAAATGTACCCAAATACCTCATCTCAGGGAA